CTCAATCGTGGTATTGAAGGTGGGAGAGAGCGCTGTACATTCACTCCCCCCACCTACAATCCCTACCGGTACGAGACTCGAACCCGCAACCTTTGGGTTACGAGTCCGACTCTCGAACCATTAGGCCACGACTTCCCCCTTACCAATGGATCCTCTGCAGTGAATGGGTGCCGTCAGAATGAGAGGCCGAACAGCTGATGATAACGTCACCATAATCCACACAACTTTAAGTTTTAAACTTCAAACCATTTCTTCCAGCTAAAATATGAGTGCTATCCATAATATTGCAGAAAAGTCATCTTGTCTGAAGTATGCACAGATCAAGCACCATTTACAAGCTTACATGTGGATCATTTTTATGTTTTAACCAGCTGTTTGGACTCTCATTCTGACGGCACCCATTCACTGCAGAGCAAATTCATCTTGGATGGCCTGAGGGTGAATTTTATTTTGAGTGAACTATTCCTTCAAGCAAACCAGTTAAAAAAAAATCACCATGACAAGGAAATAACATTAAAAAAACTTTATTAAACCATTATTTGTTGAATATAGATTCCATATGCTGTCATTTTAAGTGGGTTTCTATAATACATGTACACATTCTCCAGGTATACATTTCACATGTAGTTCATATTCTTGAGTTTCCAGTGTTATGTTTTCAGGAAGAAAGGGTGTATGAATCCAAGCAAATGACATTTTTCTTCAAGAAGAAACTGAATGAAAATATAGAGCTACAATTCACTTACTTTGTTTGAAAATAAACTGAAATCAGAAGTAACTTTGTTCCTTAGGCCTTAGACCTGGTGTCTCCCAGATAAAAAACATTGAAAAACATAATAATTCATGATAAGGACAATGCACATTATTGTGTTTACATGACAAGTAAATCAAGAAAATACAAAATTATGAATCTAGACATAACATTTACATTTGGTACACATAGTATTTGATTAAAGGAAAATACATATTAAAGCCTTAACTAAACAAGCTCAGGCTTGACTTTGGCTCATTTTATGAGAATTCACCATTGAAGATGAGCAAATGTTTTCTTTGACACAGCTACGGCGTATACCTCCCAACACAATATGAAAAGATTCACTCGATGTCTAACATTCAAAAGCATTCACATACATACATATAAGAAAAGATTTGATTTTTGGCAGCTCACTTATTAATCCTTAACACAATTCTATTGCTACTCCAAATGAGTTCAGATGTGGGTATGCTATGACATGAAAATATGAACATAGCTAACTACTTTGAAACATAATAGCTCGACCAATTAAATGAGAATACTCCTTTGTTTAGAACACTGTTTTTGAAATTTCTCTATTTAAAATTTACATTTGTTAAAACAGCATAGAAAAAGAATTTATTGAAATAATTCTTTCCAAAAAATACAAGCTTTCTGAAGCTTTAAACACATGCTAAATTTTCAGACGTGCAAAATCTAAATCTATTTTTAAAATAAAGACAAGCCATTTCAGTTTGATTAATGTAAAACATTGCAGCACATGGAAGGCCTCCCCTGTACATATGGAAAGTTAAAGGTTAACGTAACTTTAGAGAAGACTGCATTTAACTGCTCTTTTTTTGATTTTGCACAGATGTATACAGTGAGAACAATCAATACTTTTCAATATTACTGCATTTAAAATGTATAAATTGAGATATACCACAGATTACAATATTTTCTAAACTGATAATAATGATGCTTTAACAAATGTATGAATAAAAATTAACATGCTAAATTTCAACTGCAACATTGAAAATATTACTATTATAAATGCCTCATAATTATGAATAAATCTCTACTGGTGACTCCTTTTTGATCTTGAGAAACTATTTTTAAAAATAGTTATGATTGAAAAATATCTACATTTTTAGAACAAGATTAAGAAAGAAATAAAAAAGGGTGAATCCATACACAAATGAAAAAAACATGCTCAGTCATGTTGGAAACCTCTAAATTCCACAGTTTTGCTTCAGGGAACATTATTATTAAGTATTAGACTTGTTTGTATTTAAGAATGTACAATTTAAGTGTTAAATGTATATTGCACATGTATAATTGATGGAATTTAGTGGCAAGGTAAGGCAAAAATAACAAGTGAAAATATATGGAAAAATATATGGTGCTAACCCTAACACATGCACTGCCAGAATACACAAATGCACATAATAACACAATCAAAAATATAAAAGCTTTATTCTTGTATGACTTTGATTTAAATAGTGCTATTCTTTCAGATACTAAAATTTCATCCAAAGGTAAACTGTCGTACAGTGTCGCCTACTAGTGGTGACGTCATGCACAAGCATTTGTACTGGATGAAAAGTATTGCTGAGACAGACAGTGATGCAATTTTGTGGTATTATTACTGAAGTATTTTCTGTTCATCATTAATCATAAAATTTTTAGTAAACATTTGACTATTTAGACCGCCTCTAAGCAGCATTAAAAAGTAAACATATATTTGTTGCGTTGATGTGGCATCAGAGTAAAATCGCTTCAAATATGAAAATTTAACTATGATATAATTTGAATTGGCTCATAAGGGGGGTCTGACATGGCTGCCGGTAGCAGTACATAATATAAACATGTACCAGAAATCAAGCACCAGCACATGCTAAAAGAACCGAGAAATCTTTTTTCTATTGGTAAGGCATTCAAACCCTGCATATTTAGGCTATATATTGGAAATCTTTTAATCAGACTGGGTGTAAACTGCACATTACAGGTGCCCGGCTGCATAAAGTATTATGGCACATCAACATGTTATCAAACCAAGATATACATGTAAACTTAAGAGTAATGGTTAACTAAAGATTATGTTAGGAATATACTGCATGGCAAAATAGTGGCTATTTCCATTCCACTCAGCGGTAACCAGCATAAGAACATGCTATAAAAATGAAGACCTTTTTGTTCTATCATTTCCATACACACAGATCTACATACAAATACAGAATGATTGCTCAAATTATATTGCAGATATAATAATAAAACTGTTTTTCCAGAACGTATAGTTGAATCGGTTTTTGCAAGGTGACATTTTCAGAGATTAAAAAAAGACTGTATGAGGCTTCACTCACCAATGCCTGATGAAATGGTGCTCAGTCGAACATTCACCTAAAGGCAACAATCCTCACGACTTGAAAATAGTATCTCTTTGGACAAAAACACATATCAACACATCACAACCATTTACATGAACATTTTAAAGTGTTTCATGTGCCTGCGACCTGCAAAGGCATTCATACCGACTCTTAGAGAAGACGCTGATCTAGGCCATTTTAGCAGCAGGGCCAGTGTCAAACTACTTGGCCAATCACATTATAGTCCCGATCAGCCCTTTTCCAATGAGATGGCTTTTTGGAATCATGTTGGCTGAGTAATTGGCGCTGATCAGTCAAATATCTGGATAATACTCTGCATTCATATCCATATTGTGCAACACAGACTTTTGTTCGGTGGTGGACATTCTGCTCAGCACTTCTGCTGAGAGCGAATAGCTGTTCCCGGATTTCTCTTCAAACCAGCTGTCCAATGCTCGCTTTCCGTCAAAGCTCCCGATAGGTGGTCCGTTAACGGCCAAGGTGAGCAGATCGTTGATCTGATCCAGAGTCAGTCTGGAACGGCTATTTCTGCGCACTTTTTGCAACGAGCATCTTGCCTTGTCGCAGCATGTTGATGACGTTGGCAAGACCCTGGCAACCTGCAGGATGTGATTGAGAAGAGGAAAACGTTGCTTGTATCTGAAGATGTGATTGACTACTTCTTTAAAACCATTCACACTACAATAATCAGCTTTTAGATCCCTCCATTCAACTACAAGGCTTCCTCGGGCATCTATTCTTTCTTGAGAGAGTCCACGGCCAGATGACGGAATAGTCTCCAGGTGGTCAAAAATGACAAGGATCTCCTCTTCTCCATATGCACCAAGATCATCCCTGTTAAGAGGCCACGAAGCCAGGTCAAGGATCTTACAAGCCTGGACCACTGTGCAACTGCGTGGATCAAAACGTTGGGCCAGGATGCCTTGACTTCGCTGACAGATCTTCTCTCGAATGGACTGAAACTTGGACTCGGCAACCCGCAAGTTCTTGAGTTCCACGCCATTGAAACTCTCCCGAAAGTTGTCCTCAAACTCCTGTAGGTACTCCCCTGGGGAGTCCACCAATTGACCAATTTCATTAATAGCATCCTCCATTTTTGCATCCACCTGTGACGGCAACAGATAGTCCCCCTGAAAGATGAAAGCAAGTCGTGAAAAGACAGCAATGATGTCCAACAGAAAGTAGATCAGCTTCACCGACTGATAATCCAACAGGAACTGTAGAAGAGACAGAGCAATGGCAGCAGCATCGCCTCTCTGGGTTTGGCTGCTTATGCTCTTCAAGTGAGCAACCACCTCCAGATAGTCCTTGATTAGGGCATTGAGAACATTGGGTTCCCCTATGATCCAACGGACGGCCCTTATATCCCCAAGAAATTCAGTTTCCTCAGACAAAGTTGGTGCTGTCGTCCTCAACTCAGCCATCATACGTGGAGAATACCGGTAGAAGCTCAGCAGTTGCTTCAAGTTGTTTTCCAAATCCTCCAAGCAAGAGAGTTCCTTCCCGCTGATGGCATCCAGAACCTCTAAATGGGGACGATGGATCATCACAGGCAGACACAACACCCAAGGGATTGTCTTTCGTATGGCTATGTAAATTTTTGCCCTCAGACTAGAGGAGAGGTTTGAGCCATCTATTCCCAAGCCAACAACCAGCTTGTCCTGGAGTCTTAGGCCAAGGACACCAAAGGCACGATCCACAGCCTGGAGGTAGCCTTCCACATTGCCAGTGGTGGTGAACTGGACATAAACGGCAACAGCGTCAGCCAAGAGTTCATCGTTCTGTCCATCCATGATGATGCTTAGAAAGGGCGAAAGGCGAATCTTCTCGGCCAAATCCTCTTTGAATGCTCGGGCAATGTGTTGGATGAGAATCTGACAGTCATTTTCATTCATGTACTGATCTACTACTTTGAGGTCGCACTTCTTGAGGAGCTCCGCCAAGGGTCGCAGATCAGAAAATGGCCTTCCTTCCAAAGCTAGATGGTAGGCAGCGTTGAAGAGAGTCATCATATTACGACACATGTCCTCTGTCTTATCTGGGTGCATGCGAAGTTTGTAAAGCTGCAAACACTTCTTATGCAGATTGCTTTGGCTGTGAAGTTTAATGGTGTGGATTTTGAATTGCTTGGAACCGATAATGAAAGCAGAGGTGCGGGAGGACTGGACGGTGTATTGTCGGCACACGTGGCACCACATCTCATTAAGTGTGGGCGAATAACGGAGAAACCAGAACTTCTTTAGCCACTCCTGCTTGAAGCGACGAATCCGACGACCTGAGCCCACAGAGAGTTTTGAAGACTCATCTGTAGCTACCACGAGGTCAGTAGGAATGGATTCATCAGCAGAATCAACATCCTGGTCATCCTCCTCAAGCGCCGCTGGGATGGGCGTCATGGCATCTACAACAAATGAGTAAACAGAGCACAAAATTAAACTGAAAACCAACACAAAGCAAGATTAAACTCAGTTATTTACTGTTAAGTTTTGGCATGAATGAAGGTTTCAGAGTTTTTATACCTATTGTAAGCACGCCTTCTCAATACAGTTCACGATATCTCAAGTTCTACATCAACTAATACACTAATAGAAATAATTTTTAAGTACGATTAAATTCAAACATTCTTAATTCCACAAACCAACTTTAGTTGCAGGCTCCAAAAAGAAAACACTCCTTAATTATTTTATTAAAACTTTTAATTAAGAGTGCACTTCCATTTGAAACATTTCAACAAATTTGGCAATCACACAACAAAAACAACAAAAGAATGTCAACAGTAACTGACTACGAGACAAAACTGTCTATATAGCCATATGTTTAAAAATAAATCATTAATATTTACTGCTGAAAGGCTCTCATCCATGGTAGCGTTCCATCCCAGGTGCAAACCTACCTTTGAGGTCCTCACTAGGAAGTGGCTCAGATGGTGGTAAAGGCTTAATTTCAGCATGCCCCTGTCCTCTGAGATAGAGCAGTTCTGCCTCCAGCTCACGGATTCGTCGTTTTAACTTTACACAGTTTGGGCAAAAAGATGTTGATGGTCCTTCGCTGGTCAGAGTCACCTCTTCTTCTGTTTCTTCCATTTTAATGCATTTTGCATCAAACCCACTCTCGTGGTGTTCCATGGAAGCCAATCCAGAGGTGAAGACAGACTCTTTACACTCTGTATCAGGCTGGCTGAAAACCTGGCTGACATTTGTTCTTGTTCTTTGAAAAGACAAGGTGCTGTTCAGGGGGTTGTTCTGACTTTGATTAGCCTCCAGGGATGCTTCCAGGACATCTTTGAAAATGAGGTCAATCTTCTTTTTCTTGGCCTGGGTTGATGTGACCATAAGTACTGGACAGTTGAACTTAAGGCAGATATAAAAGTTTAAAAGCTATTATTTTGTTGCAGATCCCTTGTGTGCAATCAGAGCAGTAGTCTGCGACCCGTAGACATCACTAGACTCTTGGTCTCATCCTTTGAAATGCTTTTCCCAGCCTTTAATGCAGACAATTTCAACTGTTGCTTGTTTTGGGGAGTGTCTGCCTTTACTCTCCTCTTCAGCTGGTGAAATTCATGTTCAGTCAGATTTAAATCCGAAAATTGACTTGGCCAATCTAAGACTTTCCATTTCTTTGCCCTGATAAGCTCCTTGACTGAACTGGCAGGGTGTTTTGGGTCATTGTCCTGATGCAATATGAAGCACTTTCTGATGAGTCTTGTGACATTTTCTTTAATATTGGTAGCCAAGATGGTTTTGTACTCTTACAAATTCATTCTGCTACTGCCATCATACATTAAGTAATCATTAAAATTCAGAGTGCCTGTTCCAGAGACCTGATGATGAGGTTGTATGCTTAGGATTATTTGCAGTTCCCTTTTTTCTCCACACTTTTACTTTCCCATCACTTAGATAAAGGTTAATCTTAGTCTCATCGGTCCATAAACTCTGTTCCAAAACTCTACTGGCTCACCTTTGTGCTTTTGTGCAAACTCTAATCTTGCCTTTCTATTTTTGGTACTGATCAGAGGTTTGCATCTTGCTTTGTAGCCTCTGTAATTCTGTGTCAAAGTCTCCTGCGGACAGTAGATTGTCAGAGCATCACCCCAGCTTTCGAGGTTGTTGGTGATTTTACAGACACATATTTTAGGGTTCATTTTCACAGCTTTTATGATTTGTCGGTTATCAACTATTGTTGTTTTTTTCCCAGTCGATCAGGTCGTTGTTGGTTGCTGATGTCGCCAGTGGTTTCCAAACTCTTGATTTCTCCATGCCCTTTGTTTTGCTATAGCTCTAATTGACTTCCTCTTTTCTTTTAGCATCCAAATTGCTTGCTTTTCTCTCAAAGTCAGCTCCCTTTTGTTCTTGTTCTTTGAAAAGACAAGGTGCTGTTCAGGGGGTTGTTCTGACTTTGATTAGCCTCCAGGGATGCTTCCAGGACATCTTTGAAAATGAGGTCAATCTTCTTTTTCTTGGCCTGGGGCTGGTTTTCTGCCTCATCACTTCCATGCTTACTTGGGGTCCGTCTACCGTGCATTGCAGATCTCAACACTGGACCTTTGGGCTCCTCTTGTTCTTCTAATTTCACTCCTGCAATACAATAGTGTTATGGTTAATGTATGTAACACTATCAGCATTTAAAAAAACTGTGGTCAATAATAAATTTGATTATAAAAAAAGTATGATGGCTAAAGCAGGACAAGTGAAAAAAAGTATATAAATCCCATTTCACTTACCTGTTAAACCATTGAAGGCTTGGAACATCTCTTCTGGGTACTTTTTTGTTGATCAAAAATGTTCAATATGAAATAAAATATAGCGCACATTATATTTATCACATTTATAATGATGCCTTTGGACCCCCTTTGAAGCTTGGAACTTCCAGACTGCATTAATGGTTATTGAAAGGAAAACAGCGACCAGTAGAATTCTTTAAAAATTCGCCTTTTTGTATTTCACAGAAGAATTAGTTTGGAACAATATGGGGACAAGTATGTAGTGATAATTTTTGGCTGAACTACTTTAATTATAGTTCATACTGTTTAAATTTTAGTCAAATCTTGTTGTGAGTATCAGTCTTGTTTAGTGTTCAACAATAGATCTAATCCAGTAAACCAAATATCTTCACATAAATGTCTTTTATACTAAACGAACCAACTATTATTCATTTAGAAAATTGTTTTGGTTTAAATTGATGCAAATTTTAAAAAGTCCTGTTAGGATTTTATAAGAATATATTATTATTCCAGTTCAAGATTCTCCACATCTGGATTCAGCCCTGCAGTGTTTGTATTAGCAGCCCCTTAAAATGTCTTTGGAGATTCCTTAACTTTTGACCTATTTCAAAACCGTTCAATTTATTTTAATTTTTTTGGCACAAGCACCAGCGAGGGGTGTCTCACCTGTGTCCAGATTGCGGTCAATGCTGTCCCGAGACACACTCTGCAGTCGCCTCATGTACTCGCTGCTGTACCACACACAGAGTTTCTCGCCCACCGTCAGTCTCCGACACACTCGGAAGTAGATTTCTTCGCCATGTTGAAATGCACTCAGATTCTTTTTACTCTCATCAGAAGAAATCAGAATAAACCTGAGAGGAATAAATAAAATTAGCATTGTGAACAATTATATCAATATAACCATAGTGACTAAAACAACAACTTTTTCCACACAAGATCCGTACAATACAATAGCACAAAGAAAAGGAAAAGAATAATTAAAGTGGATGTCATCTCAATAACATGGTGTTACCTCATCCAGTTAGATGTAGTTTCATCACTCCCATCAATGAATTTATATTTGTTGTCCTTATCAACAATCTGTAATAAACATTTGAAATTAAAATCTAGTTTGTACCTGCATTAAAAATAATTACGAATACATACAACTATGCTAAATGGTGTTTAAACTTACAACATAACCTACCATCCAAGAGTATGGCCCTGAGGGTTTATCAGAGGCCATTATTTGGCCTTGATAAGGACCAAACAGCGCCCCCTTTGGTATGTTTTCATCCATGCAGCAGACATCCACCTTATCACCATCTCGGTGGATCTCAATGCCTGAGGGTACAGTGAGAGCTGCCCGATTGGACACCCCTGATGCCACAGGGGTGTCTGGCACAAAAACAGGGGGCCCATGGGTAGGGCACTCCTCCAAGAAATACTTCTTGCACTCTTCACAGACTGTACATGTAATATTTAATAAGCAATGAGTAAAAACAACATAATTATATAGACAATTTCAACTGTTGCTTGTTTTGGGGAGTTTCTGCCTTTAGTCTCCTCTTCAGCTGATGAAATTCATGTTCAATCAGATTTAAATCTGGAGATGGACTTGGGCAATCTAAGACTTTCCATTTCTTTGCCCTGATAAACTCCTTGACTGAACTGGCAGGGTGTTTTGGGTCATTGTCCTGATACAATATGAAGGGCTTTCTGATGAGGCTGGTTGCATTTTTTCTGCCTTTAGTCTACTCTTCAGCCGGTGAAATTCATGTTCAATCGGATTTAAATCTGGAGATTGATTTGGGCAATCTAAGACTTTCCATTTCTTTGCCCTGATAAACTCCTTGACTGAACTGGCAGGGTGTTTTGGGTCATCGTCCTGATGCACTATGAAGCACTTTCTGGTTAGTTTGGTGACATTTTCTTAAATATTATAGCCAAGATGGTTTTGTACCCTTCCAAATTCATTCTGCTACTGTCATCATACATTAAGTCTTCATTAAAGCGGAGAGGGCCTGTTCCATAGACAGCCATGCATGCCCATGCCATTGCGGTCAATGCTGTCCCGAGACACACTCTGCAGTCGCCTCATGTACTCGCTGCTGTACCACACACAGAGTTTCTCGCCCACCGTCAGTCTCCGACACACTCGGAAGTAGATTTCTTCGCCATGTTGAAATGCACTCAGATTCTTTTTACTCTCATCAGAAGAAATCAGAATAAACCTGAGAGGAATAAATAAAATTAGCATTGTGAACAATTATATCAATATAACCATAGTGACTAAAACAACAACTTTTTCCACACAAGATCCGTACAATACAATAGCACAAAGAAAAGGAAAAGAATAATTAAAGTGGATGTCATCTCAATAACATGGTGTTACCTCATCCAGTTAGATGTAGTTTCATCACTCCCATCAATGAATTTATATTTGTTGTCCTTATCAACAATCTGTAATAAACATTTGAAATTAAAATCTAGTTTGTACCTGCATTAAAAATAATTACGAATACATACAACTATGCTAAATGGTGTTTAAACTTACAACATAACCTACCATCCAAGAGTATGGCCCTGAGGGTTTATCAGAGGCCATTATTTGGCCTTGATAAGGACCAAACAGCGCCCCCTTTGGTATGTTCAAATTCATTCTGCTACTGTCATCATACATTAAGTCTTCATTAAAGCGGAGAGGGCCTGTTCCATAGACAGCCATGCATGCCCATGCCATGACACAACCTCCACCATGCTTTACAGATGAGGCTGTATGCTTAGGATCATCTGCAGTTCTCCACACTTTTGCTTTCCCATCACTTAGAAAAAGGTTAATCTTTGTCTCATCTGTCCATAAACTCAGTTCCAAAACTCTGCTAACTCACCTTTGTGCTTTTTTGCAAACTCTAATCTTGCCTTTCTATTTTTGGTGCTGGTCAGAGGTTTGCATCTTGCTGTAGCCTCTGTAAGTCTGTGTCAAAGTCTCCTGCAGACAGTAGATTGTCAGAACATCACCCAAGCTTTCTGGAGGTTGTTGATGATTTTACAGACGTATTTCCACAACTTTTATGATTTGTCTGTCATCAACTACTGTGGTTTTTTCTCAGCTGATCAGGTCGTTGTTGGTTGCTGATTTCGCCGGTGGTTTTCAAACTCTTGATTTCTCCACACCCTTTCTTCAGCTCCCTCGTCTTCATCCTGGTTTGTGTGTGTCATCATCAAATGCAAGACTTAGAATGCAGAAGCAATGGATATAACTGATACGACACATTCCCTGCTTTAATATCTGAAGAATTAATGCAACAGGACACAGCTGATCACTTAGAAAGACCTGTGAGTCAACTGTTCCAATACTTATGCTCACATCATTTAGGGGGATGAAACTAAAAGTGCTGATCTTCTTATCTGGTAAAACATCTGTGTTGAATCACCCAATTATAAAATGTGACATTCTGTAGTTTTGTCTCATATTCATCTTTTAATCATATTTACAGATTTCTTGACTCCATATATAATTTGAGATTAAATTTCCAGTGATATACACAACACTTTTATTTCAAGTTAAAGTAAATGATACTTACACCAAAAACTGGTTGAATGCTCATGGTCAACTTTTAGTTTTTTGTTTGGCTCTTCAATTGACTTCTCATTTGAGGCACTGGTAAATGTGTAGAAAAACTGCTTATTACTACTATTTTTAATGCACAGGGATTGCTCTTTAAATGTTTGCTATTGTAAACACTTTGTAAAGCTGACCTGGTGCTGCATTCGGCCTCAACTTCCATGGAGGAATGCTCTGGAACAACACAGGCATCTGCCATCTGGGCAGGAAGGAGAGACTCCTGTCTGCCTCGTTTCACTTCAACATATTAAAACTAAAGTAAAATAGGGGGATATAAATACTGTTAAAACAGGAGATTTAAGAGATGTTATAAAGAGAGCATCAAAACAGCTAAAACATAATTTAAAATGAAGTTCACACTTTATTTTAAGGTTTCTAAGGTATTTTTATTTTAAGTTCTAATTCTCACTATTAACTAACTATTGACTATGACTTTTGCCTCAATAAACATTTTAAAACTAATAAATTAAATAGTAAATAAACTCAAACAAATGTTCTGCTTATTAATAGTTAGTAAGGTAGATGTTAAGTTTAGGTATGTGCTAGGATTAATGGATCTAAAATATGGTCATGCAAAATGGCATTAATATGTGCTTTATAAGTTCTAATTAACCGCCAATATGCTAGTAGTAATATGCAAGCTAGTTAATAGCGAGAACTGGTCCTTAAAATAAAGAGTTACCAAAATGAAAAACAGAACAGGGATCAATCATAGCACCTAAAATATACACTAAATAAAAATAAAATTAAGTTAATTCAGCCTTTGAAATTTTGAAAAATGTAGAGAAAAAGAAAAAAAAAAACATTATGAAGAATGAAGAAGAAATATATATTTTGCAGGTTGCCATTTCTGACATTAACCATATGAACTCCTTTTTACCATTGAAGCACAAGATACTTGTTAGATGATTCTTAAATCATGCTGGATAACATGACCATCAGGTTTTACACAAACTTGCGGTGTCCATTTTTAATGACATACAAAATTGTAAGACATTCAGAAATTAAGGAGTTAAACTTTTTACACAGTTATACTCATACTATATTTTGTAATAAAAATGTATATAAAAACAATATGTACTAGTGATCTCAAACTTTGAACCCTATTGTATATAATTTCTTAACCCAAAATCCTTACATTACGGGAAAAAGTGTATGCCTGTTATGTGTTAACTATCCTTTACAGTGAGGCACAGTGACGTCATGCTGGCTTTACATTGTCATACCATTTTCAATTTTACATGCTTTTATAGGTTTATAGGTGTTTATATGGCTACAAACTTTGAGCTGCTTTCATAAAAACATACAAAACGCGACAACCACACAGCACTCTCCGCAAACACGGAAAGTGACCGCAAGAAACCCCTGACTCCGTTCCGCTGACGTTTCCGATATAGAAATGACTTCCAAAATATTTCAGTCAGAGAGCAGCGCTCTGATTGGTCAAGCCGGCCGTCACTCACAAACTACCCGAGCTGTGAGAGAGACGAGTGCAGGGAAACAAATAGGGCAACAATGCTCCGCTGAAAGACAAAACTGCAACAAAGTTGTGTTCTTCTAAACATTGTGAGGTAAAAGTTGCACATAAGCTCAAGCGCGGGCGATGACAATGACGGTACGCAGTGCTTCTGCACGCTCTGCCTTCGTTTAGCTTCTGCAAGGCAGCTGGCAATTTGCCTAACGCTTTCGGAAGCCATTTTCATTGGCCACATTGGCTAGTGAGTGTAACTCACCGTCTACAGAATATACGCAGTGCGTCGCGGGGTCTTTGGTGGTCTTCTTCAGCCGTGGCGCGCCTCGCCTTCGGCCGCTCCGAGAAACGCGGCGGTGACGCAACGGCACGGGGGGATTTCACTAGTCCCGGGCGATGCAAAGTTTATCATCTCCAAATGTTTGTACCACAGTCAGCTGCTTCTCTCTGCTATGACCACCATCTTTTTATTACAGGAAATGACATGGAAAACGGAAGAAAGCGGGGTTTGTGCAGACCGGGCACGAAATTTCAGGAAAGGGAAAGTTGACGTTAGATTGTGAGTGAAGTTGTATGAGGCAGCGGTTCGCGCGTTTCATGTGCGTTCGCTTTTGGAGCGCGCCTCCTGATACATTACGCAGCGGTCGTGTGCCAAGTTTTCACTTTTTTTTTTTTTTTAAATAATGAAGTTTGTAATAATTAAAGTTTAATCATTCACTTCACAGTTCTCTACAATTCATGCAGTTTTTCAACCACTTAATGTAAAGACCCCATGCAAACATTTTGTTGATAATTTTAGCCTTATGTGTGTTTCACACATGCTCCGTCTGCAGTGCGTATGCAGTCCGTGTGCGTTACCTAAGCAGCACAGACTTATTTTGCTTTCACACAAAATTTAAAATTTAAGACGTTTTATTACGTATCACCACTGATAAGCTACCACTAAATATTGTAGAAACTTAATTTGCTGTAAAGTTGTTTTGCAATGATTTGTATCGTGAAAAGCGCTGTACAAATAAACTTGACACAGGACGCGTTCGCAGTCTGCTACTGATTCGCGGCTGCTTACCACAAACACAACATTTATCCATTATTTTGATTCAAATCCAAACGTTGTTACTGAAAATGCTTTACAATCTTACAATCTTTCATAGACATTCGTTTAAACCTGTTTTTATACAGTCTATGGTTTAAACTCAATAAATATACACAACGTATTATGCATGCATTTGACTTCGAGGTTTGTATATTAAAGGAGTCATATGATGCGATTTCAAGTTTCCAGCCCGGAGTTGTCACATGTCCTTCCAGATGCTCCTTCGTTGAAATCGCCGGCTGCGCCGTTCTCAAGCCCGCCGCCGCTCACTCTAACCCTCCGGCCGTTCCTCACGCTAGCCCCCGGCCTCTGCTCACTGTAGGCCGCCGTGTGTGACGCGGTTTCGTTGTGAAAGCGAAACTACTTTGTTTGTTTTTTATATTTAAAGAGTTTTTATATTTTATATATTTAAAGCGAGTTGTTTGGGCAGTGTAGAGTAGGGCTTGTTGTTTGTCATTTCTCCGATCACAAATGCAGACATGGTTTTATGTTTACGCGGCGCGATGCAACACAACGCAACGCGCAAAAAGACAGTATAAGTCATTATAGTCCATAATTATGTCCCCACTGGATGCAACAAATGCCTCGTTTATAATGGGTTTTCATGTTTTTGAATCATCGCTCCGGCCTGACAGGGCATCATCACAGTATGGTAGGGGCATAACATTTCCATCTCACGCTTGAGGTATTCGGCCAATCACAACGCACCGTCTTTTTCAGACCGATGAGCTTTGTAAAAATCGACGCGTTTCAGAAAAGCGGGGCATAGAGGAGAAACAATAATGCACAGTATGTGGAAAATAATGTGTTTTTTTAAACCTTAAATCGCATAAACACATTTCATTACACCAAATACACAAAATAATGTTCTTTTTAGCAACATCATATGACCCCTTTAAGTTGCTCAAGCAAGAGGCAACACATTTAAACAGCATTTAGCCTACTTTTCTTGTTAGGCGATCACAAACATTTAAAATTAAAACTCTGACAGAAACAATTGACTCTCGTGCCTTTTGCATTTAAATCTTTATTACAAGCAATCCCACGGGTCTTGAAGAACTTTGTTTTTCTACCGCCACAAGTGCATCTATTATGTTGCCTTGTTTATCTAAAAATGCACTTTTTCTTGTTTTAAACCTAGCCAAAAAGCCACGTGTTGACTGTGAAACACAGTAGACTTTAATTGTATCAATTTATTGTGAAATTACTACATTTCCGTGTCAATCCATGTTAATTTTTACCGTGAACAATGCGCTGTCACTTTAATTCAGCGCGTGCGGCACAGCAAAAAAAAAAAGAAAAAAAAAAGCAGGCGTTTAGGCGTACAATGTATTTTTGCTTTGTTTATACAAGTGTTATACTTTAAGATTAGTTTGAAAAGCTCCCATTGACTGAATCTTATCGGAATTACCGTAATTAGACTAGGGTATTCTGTTCGGAGCTATTCACGTAGGCTACATTGAAATTTCCGTTTCTATGCCAACGCCGTTCATAACAAAATTGAGCTTTTGACAGCAAAATGAAATATCACCGTATGCACACTGCTATAATGACAAAAAGACGTTGAATTGTGCAATAGCACTATCTGTAACTACTCTGTAATCTTCATTTACTATTAAAATTACAGCCATTTTGATTGATTTTTTATGTCAGAACAATCAAGGGGGAGAAGTTGGAGGAATTTTCAGTTTACACATCTAGAGTCTTAAATTTGTCATGGATTGCTTCAGGAATATCCTACAGGTTAGTACCACAGCACATTTTCAATTTATGAGTAAAATAATATCTTTGTTTATTATCTTGTGAAGCTGCTGTATTTTTAAAAATGAGCAAGTTGTTGTATACAGCAATAATAACCGTAGTTGTAGTCCTTAAACACAGCCCATAATTAACCTGCACTTGCGCTCAACATCCACCCCAACACTTCAAATCTCTCTTTTGGCTTGACACTTACTTTAAAATCAGTTTCACAAGTCATTTGGTCATTCTATAAAGCCAAGTTGAATTCAAGACAAACGGGAGGCGAATATTCTTTGTCAATTTATTAACAAAATGATAAAATAAATAAATACAAATTGATCAAATGCTCCTAATATCAATTTCTTCCCATGTTCCCTACAGTATTTTCAAAACACTGCATACAAAGGACTCATCACAGGCTCAATACAGGAGAGGTAAGAACCAACTGACACACTCACAATGTCAGGCGAACAAACGAGAAAAAAGACCAGAGAGAGAGAGAGAGAGCTCTGTAACAGAAAAAAGTCAAAAAATAAACACACCTTTTTAAAATCATTATGAAAAAATACAAACAATTTTACAAATATTCATATTGTGTAATAAACCATTTACACTTAGTTCAGCACACCAGGTGAACTTTTTCTTTCTTTCTTTTTTTTAATTTTTTTTTAAATAACTCATGTCGCTACAATGTATCCTGTTTTGTGTTTCATCAAGTGGAAGATTTTTTTTGTTGTAATTTTTCTTTTTTGCACGCGTAAACAAAAATGTTTTCCAATTGGACAGTTGACTGTAGATGAGGTAACGCTCACAAACACACACACACACACACACCTGCTCAAACAAACACACTCGCTCACACAGTGCACAACACCAGGAAAGTCACGACTACAGAAATGAAATGCATCAACAGTACGAGAAGGCCACAATCATGACTGAGTAAATAGTATGAAAAGTGAACAGAAACTACATTAAAACTACAATGACTTCATTGTCACTGTGGAATTATAACGCACCATAAAGAATATGGATGATCTACACACTATTAAGATCAAGGTGACAGGATGAACAGCTGGAATGGGTGTGAAAATGTTTTCGATTTTATGCATAAAATGTACACAGCAACCTTTCGCCTTTTAACAGTTCTAAAACCAAAATTGCAAAGCCATACAGACAACTTAGAAAGCGTTTCCCACACGTCGGAGCCGTAAGCTAGAGCAGAAATCAATCGTGACGGAAAAAAACTTTCAATGATATGTATCTTGAATGCATATAAAAAGACTTCCTAACAGCAAAATGTTTGCAGTCTCTTTGGGTATACTGACTTAAGAACTTGAATGCGTGGCTTTCAGAAGTTCCCTCCCCTTACTTCTAAAGGCCCCACCCACAACAGATTACATGCACTCTGCAAGATAAGCCATGTCAGACCATAAATATCTTCTCACAACCACTGGTACCCCCCCCAGCGCCCCAAGATAACAATAACATTCAGCATGGTGTTGGAGCAAAGGCAGACTTGAATGAAAGTAACTGTCCATGAGATTCATACACAGCCGAAACACCACATTTCCATGTTCCAAAGAGCCCAGAATTGTGGCCAGCAAATAATTCCCATCTGTAACTGTACATGAATTAACTGTTTTCTACAGATGCCATTGTGAAAGTGTATATTGTTCATAATTTAAACAACAACAAAAAAAGCAAGTGTATTTAAGAGATGTACATATGTATACTGTTTCGTTTTGGCATCATCTTCGCCAGACATGTAAAAAGGAAAGTGACACAAAGTTCACATAAAAATCTTTACAAAATAAACTCAAAACTAAATGCATATTAAAAAAGTTTGACAAAACTTATAAAAAATTTGCATAAGGCGGCATGCTTTTTGTTGAACTGATTGGACAGGTTGGTGTTCTGGGGGTTTGAGTCTATCCAATCAGACTGCAGGTTTTCTTTGATCCATTCAGCCTTACTAATAGTCAAGGCTGAAATCTAAATACCTGATTCAGGTACAAGTCCAGTACTCTAACTGAAGGAGAGATGAAGGACATGACGCGAATAAAAAAGGGTGCAAGTCGTTTTAAGAGCAGTGTTATGTATGACATTAAGTCGTAGTCACTGGCCTGAACAGTCCTGTTTTGTGATACACGAGAAAACAAAATCTCCTGAATCACACACTACAAAAGAACTTAAAACGAGCAGACACTTAAGTATTTTGGGGAATAAATGAGTAATACTTAGGACATTCCTATAAAAAGTGCATAAAGACAGGAAACCATGACTTCCTAAACTTCCAGAACTTTTTTCCAATGAATATCAATCCAAAAAACAAATTTCTGTCACTAGATTCACACACTTAATATTTTGGTGGCACAGAGTGCTCCGATAAACCAATGAATTAATTTAAAACACATTATAAGGAACTCTTTTTTTTTTTTTTTTTTTCCAACCCATATTTTGCGCAATCACTTAGATATACTTTTGTTCAGAGTATTAAAAAGCTCAAGGCAACTCCTTAAAATATAGCCTACTCTTAAGAGGGGCTCTTTAACTTCACAGCAGATAACTAGATGAAGTAAAGACAGACAGGACTTGCGCAATCACTTAGATATACTTTTGTTCAGAGTATTAAAAAGCTCAAGGCAACTCCTTAAAATATAGCCTACTCTTAAGAGGGGCTCTTTAACTTCACAGCAGATAACTAGATGAAGTAAAGACAGACAGGACTACACCAACACAAGCACATCACTACAACCATTTCACTTTAACCGAATGAAATCACAACAAATGTGCTTCTAATCAAGGCTAACTGAGTGACGTTTTACAGAGAGAGGGAAATATGACCAGTTTATGAGATTAAATTCAGTATGTAAAAGGTTGAAGGCACTCTGGGCACCTGTACAAGAAGGAATAAAAGTAGTTTTCTTTAAATATTCTCTAGACTGACAATGGTGACTTCTGGAAGGCCTTAAATATTCATGTCGGTATGTTATGCCACAATAATGGACGCCATGATATGTTTATCTGTTATTACCCAGTCTTGGCTCAAAGGGTAACAGGGCATTATGGGAATGTATTAAGGATAAGTATGTGAATTTTCACAGTAGATTGTGAGAAATTGCAGCACATTGTTGATATAACCAAGACCCCATCCACTAAGAATCACAAATTGGGTTTTAAAGCCATGAAATCCTGACTAATCAAGATAAATCTATCATTTAAAACAAACTAACAAACAAAATAGTAAACATCATCCCAAATACAGAATCCATATTGTGGTAGGTTCTCTCTTGTGTTTAAACAGCCAGAATGAGCTATGCATCGTTCTTTTGAAATCCCAAATAAATATGCACTACTGTATACATATAGTCAAAATAAGCACTTACAAAGATGCCCTAAACGGATATGTGGAATTTGATATGCATTCAATCATATCTTCACAAAGCTAAAAGGGATATGCTTTTTGGAATGGCCTGACATTAACATAACAAAAGGTGCCAGCCGTGAATTACTTTTAAGACTTTTAAGACTTAAGATGTTACCTGGGACAGGACAAGATACTATGCAACACACTGAAAAGCCAGCAAAAACCAGCAGAAATCTGTCATAAACAGTGCTTCCCACTTTGTACGCAAGCAACTGGCTATTGTTTTCGATTTTACAGGATGTTGGCAAGCGTAAAAACCAACAGATAAGATTTAAGCGCTTTTTGAAAATTTTGCTCAGAAAGTCTCTTAAGAGGTTCTTAGTGCGTTTGCTTTAGTTATCTGTAATAAAGCTTGTGCTTTAATTAAGGGTTTTCTGTCATTTCCTTATTACTCAATTTGGCTCATACATCAAACCCTCAAGTTTAAGACAGCAAATTGTGACTTAGTCATTGTTTTTCAAGAAAAAAAAAGGTTTTGGAAAAATGGGGATGGGACTAATCCATTATATTTTAGACTAAACACACAGTAAGAGGATATTACCATTATTTTCGAAAAAAAAAAAAAAACCTAAAGCATTTGGCAGTTCGGAATTCAAATAAAAACAGACACTCATTATGCAATGTGCATCTCTGAAATTGAGGAAGCTGCTTGCATAATTCATGCCATTTTTAAACACCATTGATAACAAACGACTGTTTCATGAAACAGAAAAGCACTTATTTTTCAATGAAGACTAGGAAGACCTGAATATATTTTCTTAAAAAACAAACGTAAAAACTAAATTAATAAAATCCACAAACAGCATCGAATACACACATATACTGACTTTAGAACAAGACTCATTCAATACACAGAACCAACACCGCTTTCAGACTAATCTACCACGCATGATTTGTTGCAGTTACCGAGATGTGACTTCTGGTGTAGCTTCCTCTTCCAGCCCTTTGTCAAAGATCTTGAGAGGCTTTGCCATGCGCTCTACCACTGATTAGCCTGAGATGACTTGGAGACGGGACACTTCTACAGCTAACTGGGAAATGCGGACAAAATGTAGAGTGGAGGAAAGAAATTAGAGGGGTTGCTATAGGCAGTCCTGATTTAGTCTAACCCACACCAACAACAGGATTTCTAAACCTCTGCCTTGTCACTGGCGAATACTGATGCACTGATTTGAGTTTTTTTTTTGTCCTGTTTGGAAAGAGAAGCTTTTGGTATTGCCAGTCCACTCAGGCCTGGCTGGAGGTGCACAGGGTTTTGGGCACAGTCATGCAGTCTTTGGACACGTCTGCCCAGCCTTTCTCCTCCTGAGGAGAAGACAACTAAGACAACCTATGGAAAACAAACCCCATGTTGGAGGCACACACTGGTCTGATCTGATAAATCATCCATCATCTTTATCACCATCATTATTATTATAATAATAATTATTAATATTATTAAACTACTATTTTTCTTTTTTTTAATAATCTAATAATTGGCTTGACACTTTTTCGTAAGTCACCCTTTTCAACCACAAGTTTGGGCCCTATTGGTCTACAAGAACCAAGACTAGTTTGCCTTGGATGTAGAAGTACTGACGACACAGTTCTACCATTTAAAAAAAGTAAAAGAAAAGAAAGAAAATTAAAAAAACGTCAACATTTATTTGGATATAGATAATATATATATATATATGCTCTGGATGAGGCGGACCAGGTGTTTTACCTTGTCCAGAGAGGCCTGCATCTCCTTCTGACGGGCAAGTATGCTGTTCTTGGTCTCCATACATTTCTGTTGAAGAAAAGGAATACAGCATTATATAATAAACACAAACTGAAATCTTAGAAGAACTACGGTATATATGTAACAAGCCGTACTGAATATTTGCAGGGATAAAATGAGAAAAAGCTGAATGTTCCTCTTAAAATTGGTTTTCTGAGGCAAAAATCCCTTCACAGACATGTAGAACAATTGTATAATTAATCTTGTATCCAGAAAAGCTCCAGTTAAAGAGAAAAATAAGTAACACACTGTTATAGAGTTGCTGAGCTGTTTCACTCTCTGTTCTAGTTGTTCTCGTTCCAGCTTTAGTTCGGCACTCCATTTCATTAACTTCTGCTTCTCTTCTTCTTTTGCTGTTGGACAGGAACAAAACACTCATAAATTGAATGCACTATAACATAGATGTATGCATTTGGTTATAAACTTTTTTTTTTACACTTAAAATGTCAAATTGGGGTGCAAATTTCTACAACTGTAAATCAAAATATCTCTACCTTCTTTGTAAGCAATATAGGAATGGACAATTGCTAGGGTTCCTGGCCATGGAATGGCCTCTTCCTTCTTCAGAATCTGTAAAAGAAACTCTCTCAATAACAGAACAGTGCTGTGCCCACTTGACCCCTGGAAAGCCATAAAAGAAACTGAGATCAATTGTATATGGCAACAGTGATGAACAACAGAACTTCAATGGGAGTGCTTGATGCTGTCTTACACTTACATGATGGGTGGAAAAAAGGCACAATCAATACCAAACCATGTGAGAGCTTACAAAGGACGAAGCAGCCTTAATGCCTGAAGAAACTCATTTCGTTTAAGGGGAGAAAAATGTACACTTCATTTTTGGCAGGGAAAGGGGAGTTTGATCTCTCAGTTTGTCTTCCATTTCTAATGATATAAAAGTGTGTGTGCTTGAAAGGACTGAATTCCAGTTAAAAGGAGACATCACTGACTGGCCTGCGAGATCAGTGGCCAAGGGCTCATTGTGCTGCTATTATTTACCTGGTCTTGACATTTAGGACAGATCCACATGCCTTTGGGAATGTTTTTGAGGGGTGGGTCCAAGCAGTCGAGGTGGTAGACGCGCGAACATGTGTCACACATGAGCAACTGTCCACTGCGTCTGCACACAGTGCAGAAATCCTCATGGATGTCTCCCTGTCGGGAAGAACGGCAGGTGTCAGTACCACCGCCCCCTTCTTTTCCTGGACCAATCAAATGACAGCGGGAAAGGCGGGGAGGAGAGGAACTGACTGCTGATTGGAGGTATTTGTCTAGTGGCTCACAGGTGACTGGACTGTTCACTCAGTCAGGGCACTGGATATTTAGCTAATAGTTTTAATATTATTACTATAATTGGGATTATTGGATTAATCACTATTGAAAATGTATCACGTCATTATAAGCAATGGTTATTTTGGCTTAAATGCTAAGATGGGGTGTAAGAATTTTAAAAATACTATACTATAATTACTTCAGGCCTGATATTTGTGTGGGAAGTAGAGAAAGACTGTTCACTTTGTAAGACTGCTGGCTCCATTTCAACAAATAAAACAAACACATGAATGACAGTGCTGGTAGGTCAGTCTTTCTCTTTCCAGGGTGGATGCTGGACTCTAACAGGAGTTACCTTGCTCCTGTACATTTTGAGGTGTACAGGATGAATGCAGTGAAGGGTTTTGGGGGGTAGGGCCAGCCTGTGATGTAGAGGAATCTACTAAAACAATAATAATAGTGGGGCCTTTCAACAACATGGTCGCCCAGACTTGGCAGGTGGCTACTTACATCCCCGGAGCTGGGGCTGGGCTGGGGGACAGAATGAGGGGGGACAGAGAGGGGAAAGCCCCCCGTGTCAGGCCGCTCAGGGGCTGGGGAGGCGGGAAGGCTGCTGGTGGGGGAGAGCAGGGGGTTGGAAAGGAGGGAGAGAGCGAAGGAGAAATGGAAGGGAGGGTCACAAAAAGCAGTTAGTGCAACAGACGAACACAGCAGCATGCAGGGAATTTGAAAAGCAATGAGTGAAAGAAAGAACAAAAGAGAGAAAGTCTACACTGAAATCTGATCTCAAATCTCAATACATTTCTCTGCAGGTGGCTCCTACAGGAACAAGCAATGCATCATGCACTCTAAAATAAGCAAAACAATAAATATAAACATAACATCTAAAGGTAACATGACAACCAGAGAACCAACAGACAAACTCTCACTTACACACCTAATTCGACCTACTCACATCAGCACTCAAGTCAATAAGTAGAGTCCAAGTAAAGAACTTTCAACAATATCAACACTCAAATCTTTAAGGTGGTATCCAAGTCAGGTCTTTCAAGGCCAAGCTTAAGTCAACACTCAAGTCTTCGAGGTAGAGTTCATATAAAGTCTTTTAAGGCCAAGCTCAAGTCAAGCCTCAAGTCTTTGGGGTGAAGACCAAGTCAAGATTTTCAAGGTCAAATCAAGCTAAATCCATTATGTTGAAGCACAGCTCTAGAAATCACAAGAAAATAACAAGATATTCTAAAAGTAAAAAAAAAAAAGAAAAAAAAAAAAGTGAAGAGCACAGAGACTCAAATCTGAAGTGAAGCAACACTGAGAGGACATATTTCTCCTTGTAATCCTACTGACATTTTGGAGTCTTAAGTCAAAATGTTAACAAGTCCAAAATAAGCCAAATTCTCTGGAAACTATACAAACTGGGGAAGAGGTTCCTTAACCACCACTTTTATAGCCCACTTTTTAGGTCTACTCAAATGATGTAGGTCTGCAAAGAGATCAGACCCTAGCAAAGACACAAAGCAGAATTGCAAGAGAAAGCGGAGAGGTGTCTATTAGGTGTCTGTTAGGTGGTACACAGAAGCAGCAGGGCTACAATACATCAACTTAAGCAACTTAAGACAGGCAGGTACAGACCTCTCTTCCTGGTGCCTTGATGCAGTGGAGTGTTCAAGTAAGTGACAGCACTCTTTTTCCTCTGAGATATATGAGAGAAATCGGAATGTTAGAGCCAAATCGGAAGTTCAATCTAAGCCCTCAAAATCAGAACAGATGGAGGAGGGAACTACAGAACATTTGTTTGTACCTCAGGTTCAAACACTGCTCCACTGTACACTGGGTTGGCTGTTGTTCTCCTCTTACGTTCTTGTCTTCTACTCTGAATCTCTGGAGAGCAATGACATCCCATGCACATCTGGTTAAAAACATCCTGTCCTTGTAACTTTAATTTAATGGAAATCCAGAGTGCAGAATTGACACCAGTGGGACTTACCTTCAAGATGGCCATGTGTGACCAACCCAAGAGACACCATAAAGGCAAGTTTCTGAAGGAAGAAAATTTATTAGTTTATTATTTAGGCTTCAGGCAAAATTTGCCAGACATGATGGTATTGTTAACTCTGTGAAGGTACCAGTACCTGTGGGCTCTCCTCTCGTTTGATCTTAGCTGGAGGAGGAGGAAGAGGAGGAGAGGATGAGGGTGGTGTACTCATGACCACCTGTTCTGGTCCTCCCTGTGGTTTCACAGTCTGACGCAGCAAACAAGAAACAAGATAAGCAACCCAGTCAAGCTGTTTGATTCTTAGTGCAAGAACAAAAGTTAAACCTATCCTATCGGATAAAAAAAGATTTGTCTGAAAAATGTTGCATGTCTGGAGCAAACAATCAAGCTAATAGAAACGGGTGCGCTCACCTTCAAGTCTGAGTTAAGGTTGCTGATCTGAAGTGTCTGGGCAGGACTGATGACAATGCCTGTGACTTGCGTGGTGCCACTCGTGATTGCAGTCATGGTCTTGTCAATGGTGGCACACTGCTGTCCGTTCACGATGTGCACCTGGTGAATGGGCCCAGCAGAGGCAGGCAAAGATGACGTAAGCTTGGTGGTGAGCATCAGGGGCCGCTGGATTAGAGGAGCCGCCACCGTGGGAGGAGGAGGAGCTGGAGCGATGGGTACATTGATGGGCATGGGGGGTTTTGGTCGAACCTGTGCAATGGTGGAATGGGGTTGGGTGAGAAAGCAGACAGAGGCTTGCCAAACCAATCGATCACGAAAGCCACTCTGATTCCATGCCCCTAACATCCATGCTGTTTTGTGTTAAGAGGCAACCTCAGCCATAAGAAATGCTAACACTGAGCTCTGGTTCACCCCTCAGTGACTAGTTTAAAAGTGGATGAAAATGTGTGCAGAGCTCAATTTAGGAACATCAAAACAAACCAGCAGTAGGAGTGGGCAACTCTGGCCTACAATGTCCATCAGTTTAGCTCCCACCCTGATCAAACTCACCTGCCTATAACTTTCTAGTAATCCTAAAGACCTTGATTAGTTGTTCAGGTGTTTGATTGAGGTTGGAGCAAAGCTCTGCAGGACAGTGGACTTTGAGGGCCAGAGTTGCCCACATAAGAAAGTTAGGGTGTGCTCAAACTTGTAGTTCGGTTCTCTTGGTTCGTTTGGTCTGGACCAAAAAAAGAAAACTATACATTTGGTCCTGGTCTGCTTAGCGGTTACTCTGGCATTTTTGACAGCGAACAAAGATACCAAACCTAAAGGCATAGTGATACGTTCACAACCTGATTGGTCATTGAATGACATATTTCATGATGGAACATAAAGGGGTCATATGACATTGCTAAAAAGAACATTATGTTGTGTATTTGGTGTAATGCAATGTGTTTATGCGGTATAAGAAAAAAACAAAAAAACATTATTTTCCACATAATGTACATTTTTGTTTCTCCTCTATGCCCCACCTTTCTGAAACGCGTCGATTTTTACAAAGCTCATCGTTCTGAAAAGCGAGGTGTACGCTGATTGGCCAGCTATCCAGTGCGTTGTGATTGGCTGAATACCTCAAGCGTGTGACGGAAATGTTACGCCCCTTAACAGACTGTGATGCCGTCTCCCGGCACGGCGAGACAAAACCAATAAAACCCATTACAAACGAGGCATTTGTTGCATCCAGTGGGGACATAATTACTGATTATAATGACTTATACTGTGTTTTTACATGTTGCGTTGCGTATCGCGCCGCATAAACATAAAACCATGTCTGCATTTGTGATCAGAGAAACAAACAAGCGCTACTCACGTTTGAATCATCCGTGGCAAATTCTTTAAATCTAAAAAATTTACTTACAGGCTGTGAGTCAGAAGCTCCAGACTGTCCTTGCAAAGTTGGAACTGCCCCACTTTATAGAACAGCCTTTGAGCACAGACCCATTGTATGCTACTCTGCAGGTTCAGGAAACAGTCTTCCATAAAATGCGTTACACACGGCGGGCTTGAGTGAGCGGAGGCCGGCGGCCTTGAGAACAGCGTGGCCAGCGGATTCGATGAAGGAGCGGCCGGCAGGCGTGCGGCAACCACATGTGACGACCCCGGGCTGGACTCCGCGTCCACAGTGAAAGCAGATCCCACAATCCACAGCGCGAAGTTGATGTATTTCCTCAGCGATCAGCACGGATCAGCTCTAGGCATGACGAAGCGGATATCATCCTCTTTTGGAAGGTCAAACAAAGTAGTTTCGCTTTCACAACTAAACACAGCATCTCCACAACATGGCGCCGGCGGCAACAACAATACTACAGCGAGAATAAAAGTTACGCCTTCTTTCTTTGCGTGAACATTTGGGCGGTGTTATGCAAATCTTCCCACACAGTGACATAGACATGTGGGGCCGTGTTTAAATGAGCCGTTTTAGGAGGGCGTGGACAAGTCTTAACTTTTATAAAGAATATCTCTTTGGATTTGAGACTTTAGTCTTTGTAACTTTACAGATCTTCTTTATGCACCAAGAGTTTGTAAGACTCTAAAGAGAAAGGAAAAATTGAAAATCGCATCATATGACCCCTTTAATGAACACCCCAAACAATAGGTGCGTTCGACTTAAAGCGGCGCTGCGCAGACCGATCGGTGTATGACATTAAAGTACCCAAAGTACTGCTCAGCACCGCTTTAAGTTGAATACACCTAATGGTTGGACTAAGCGTGCTCATTGTTGCGTGTACATGATTTTATTTTTATGACCTGCAAACTCACAAAGAGCTTATAAAAGGCATTTTACCTACTCGTTGCTCCACGTTTGCCCTCGTTTTGGATAAACCGCTCGTTTCTCATCGTCAAATCATGTCGCATAGCATTCTTGTCATTACATCCTGTTCTTGGTTTGTTTAGAAGTATTTGGTCCATGTTGCTTTCATATTTCATTCGAACTGCACCAGAGTTTATTTGGAAGTGGACCAAGATCCATTCTTTTAGCGGTCTTGTCCACTTGTTTGGTGCGCACCAGGGTTCGGATGGCAGTGTTCACACTTACTCAAATGAACCACACTAACAGAAAAATTGCACCAGAGTTTGTTTTAATCGAACCAAACGTGACAAGTGTGAACACACCCCAAGTCAAACAAGTTTGGAACGATATAAGGGTAAGTAAATGTCGGGTTCAAGTGCATTAATCTGAGCTCGCTTTAGCATTACATAGCTTTTTGAGGTAAAAGGTGATATACTGTCAGTCTTTAAGGGAGTGAGGGATTAATGATAGGGTCAGCCAAAGCAAATATCAAAAGAACAAAAGCAGAAATAAAAAGCTGCAACTGAAGCAACAGCATTGTTACAAAGGAACAAACAGCAACACGCTGTCTTACTCTCAAACACCGTGTCTACACCAGACATAAGCAACGAACATACAGAAGTAAGTTACATTTTTATACCAATGGACTTCTGGTGAGTTATTCACCCAAATGTTATAACAACTGTTGTTGAAGGGGTCATGCACCTCAAGTCGTTGAGTGATGGCACTTATGGGTCACTTCCAGTATAGACACGGTGCTTAAGGGAGCTTACACACTAGATAAAGCTGTAATGGAGCATTTGACAGACAGGAATGCATTTATGGCTCGATTTTCAAATAGGCGCTATCTTTATAAACAAACCACAGATTTGAGTTTTAAGCAATTACATTCTCGCCTGAAAAACTCTAAACTACATTTCATGACACAATAACAGTAATATTTAGAAAATTACGCGGGTTTTTGGGCAATGACGTTCACAAGTCCACAAGAACAGACAAGAGCACATATTGAGAAACAGCTATTGTCTGCGTGAAAATATTAAATTATAAAATAAAGTTATATTTTTTGTGTTTGCACACCGATATAAATGAGCCCGACACTCACGGACAGCAGAGCGGAACGAGTGAAAGAGAAGCTTTATCCCCTTCTATTAGTTTCTAGATTCTAGTCAACCAATCAACTTTCTGCAGTGAGTTTAGCTCCACCCTTTTGGTACCCTTTGCTGTGCTAGGTACCCCAACGGAAGGGTACCAAAAAAGTGGTACGGTTCACTATTTTGCTACCATTCACAACTTCTGACAATGGAAACAGACATAATTGCGTACCTTACCGTACTGTACTGAACCATAACGCTCGGTGGAAACGGGCCATCAGAGAGTATAGACAGAAGCAGGCCAGTTCAAAACAGATCAATACTACAGTGGACTGAATTTTCATTGGTCAACAGATGCCTAGGTCAGAGTGCAAAGCAAAAGTTCTAGGTTGCATGACCGAGCATCACTTTCGCAAACCTTTGTTTTTTTTAATCTTTTTTTTTAACAACACAATATCCCCAACTGATATCAACAGACTTGTAGCATTTCTAACAGAGCGTAAAATCTAGTGTAAGCACCCTAAAGCAAAGAGAAAAAAAATAGGAGCAGACAGTATCACAGCAACAGTCAGTGCTGGGAAGGAGAATGTGAGAGTCAGTTTTATTATGTGGAAAAAAGCAGAATTTGGGTCTCTAAGTGTGGAACAGTGATGTCTTGAAGTTTGGGTGATTGTGTTCGAGCATGATTTTAGTTCCCATGTTAAAAACTCTTTCAAGATGAGAAGTTTAAAAATATCTTAAATCAGAATGTCTCTGTAAACAAAGGCTTTACAGACACAAGGCCTCTGAAACTAGGTTGTGTGTCCCTCTGGTGGCGTCAGTGTGGAACTGCATATACATAAGGGGAGGGGGCAGGTCTAACAGAGACGCACCTGTGGCTGAAAGGTGGGTCGAGGCGTCAATCTAGGAGGAGGGACAAACTGGGGAACTTTGATAGGCTGGGCAGAGGTGGTGGTGACCTGTGACAAAACCAGCCATTTATTGGGCACTCAGCAGGTGAAATGGAGAAATTCACAACATTTAGAGGAAATGATCCTCTATCTGGTTTCATCACAGAAGTATGTCACCATACACCCCAGCCAAGCACATCATTGTCAGAAAGGAAGTCATTTAAAATCTTCACATAAACATCCTGTTCTAAACACATCAAAGCAAAGTGGGTCTGACTATGACTACAGCAAGCTATGCAAAAACACAGACTGGCATTTCTACTTCAGTTTAACATTGTTATATTTAAGCTAAATGGAAACACTAAGTTAAGAGGAAGAATCTTTAGCGATTAGCGATTTAGGGATTCACACTCACGACAATAACATTCTTGGACACAATCCGTGTGCCGGCATCTGTGTCCTGATTGGGTAGCTTGCTGGCCACCTGAAGGTTGATTGGTGTGCTCTGGGAGTCGGAATTGACGCCGGGTCTCAGGGGGTTGCTGATGGCAGTGACCATGGCGACTGTGGGGCGTTGTGTTGCCATGGAAGCAGGCATGGTGGAGGTGGCAGCTTTCAGCACGAGAGGTAGAGTCTTTGCAGTTATGACCGGCGTCACGGTGAGAGTCTTCTAGTCGAGGAGGTGGGAGGTAGGTTGATTGAAGGAAGCAGTGAATGAGGATGAGGACACACAAAAGATGTTAAAAGTGCTATTGACTTGATTTCTCTGCTGTTATTGTGTACGAATTATCAGTGCATATAAGAAAAATGGTCTGTCCTTGCCTTTCATCAAAATATAATAACTTGAAATGACTTTTTTCCATTGATGTTACCAAGAGAGCAAGTGCTGTTAGATAATGTTAACCAATCACAAATTAGCTATTGAGACATTGTTTAAACAAAGTCATATTGCAGGTTTGGCTCCATTCTTGTATTTAATACCCAAATGTCATCAATTAATATTCATAATCGATTAATGGGAATTAAATTAATCGTGTGTATATATATATATATATTTTTTTTTTATATATTTGATTATATATAAATTACATATATTTCTTAAATATATACATGTATGTGTGTATATTTATATATAAATATACACAGTACACACACATTATATAAACACAAATGCTAATTCTGGATATGAATAATTGATTTGACAGCACTGCATGGTGGTATTGATAAAACATAGTCCCACCGTATAAATTATTCCAGTTTAATAGTTTAACTTACAAATGCTCTACATTACAGAAATAATAGTCAAAATAATATTAAAAGAATATATAATGAATTAAAATAATGAATATAAAACGAATTTAGTCCCACTCCATAATTTTTTTCTGTTGAATATTCAGTTTCTTTTAGAAATGTGCCACATCACAAAAACAAAAAAGGTTGCAAATGCCACTACATGTGGATTTTATTTATATTAATAGTTCAATAGTTTATCAATTCTATGAAAAATAGTAAATACTATGTTAAATAGCAACACATTCCCTCTAGATGGTCTTCTTCTCTCATTACAGAAAAAAAACAACAAAAGCAGTTAAAAACAGAAAGGCTGAGATTGTACATTATTGGCCATATAAAAGCAACAATGCTCTTATAAGATTCTAAGGTCACTCTGCCCTTATTTTTCACAAACTCAAAGCTTATTTCAGGGACAAAGATTTGTGTGTTTGCAATTACAGTGTGTGCCTTTAGAATAGAGCACCGTGGATGAGTCAGGGCAATTGTTTTTCAATAAACCTTTTGGGTAAACTAGCTAATCGTCTAATTTTTTGCTGCGGTACAAGAATCGAATTCACATCTCACCAGTGTTAAGTAAATATTCCGCTGCAAATCACCTCCGAGTACAGTGCTGTTCTACACATTTTGTCTAGAAACTGTGTGGTGTTTAGGGTGTGAAGCGGTACCTGTGGCGCCCCCTGGTTGTGTGGAGGCCCTGTGGGCGGCTGTGAAGGAGGACAGGCAGGCATCAGCAGCACGGTTTTACCATCTGCGGTTGCTGGGAGCGTCTGTGGCTTCAAGTCGGGCTCCTGTTTCACCAGCAACTCCTTCCTCAACTGCTCCACCACTTTTTTCTGAGAGGGAGAGAAATTACCAGGAAATCATACATCCAATCACAGTCACATTTTGAGGAAATGGTGATTACAGAAAAACAAATTGTTCTGAAACACACATACGCACTTTTTCCAAGAAATAAAAATGAAAAGACCCCCCACCCCC